TGGCCTCAGTTTCGACTTCGCCTCGGTGTTTTGCCTGCATTCCTGGCGGGATTCGAGTGTGTGGTAGTTTGACCTTGTTTTCGCAAATTGGTCGGAGCAACAGAGACCCTGTGGTAGTTACCCAGTCCTGTGTCCTCTGCCATAGTAGACGTGATTTCCAGCCTAGGACCATTGACTTGGTACATTTCCCAACGCGTTCACCGGCATCGTTAGTGAGAGGTACCATCGTAAGCACAAAGTTACAATTTATCAAAGTGACAAGTCTGCGTGGTTCTAATAAAAAAGTTTGTGTGCTGTTATTAATTGTAGTAGTTGTATGACCTGTTTTTCGCAATTTGGTTATATTGGCAGGAAGACCTGGAGGAACGCATGTTGTCCGGAGTTCATGGTATGTATGATTATTTTCAGAGTTTGACCGGAAACTTTGTACATACCCAGACGTTTCGCCGGCGTCGCTAGTGAGCCTTGCCATTCTTAGCATCATACTACAACTCGTCGGAGACGAGACAAGTTGTAGTGTGGTGCTGCAAATGGCAGAGCTCACTGACGACGCCAACTATGATGCCGGCGAAACGTCTGGGATTGTACCAAGCCAACGGTCCGACTCTGGAAATGATCATGCTTACAATGGATTCCGGACCAGGTGCGATCCTCAAGGTTTTCCTGCCAATGTGACCAAGTTGCGAAAACAAGGTCAAACAACTTGTCTACGAGGAAAGGAGACTGCGACCATATAAAAGGCCACACCATCCTGGCCTTTATACTTTCGACTCAATCTGACGTCGCTTATTCACTTAATCCTGCCTTTAACGGCTACCAGTCTTGATGTTAACACTCAATTTTATCAGTAAATCAGATGTATACAGCTGAGATTGTATTGGTACTTTCCAAACCCTACTTATGAGCTAAAAATAAGTAATAAAAGATGTATTTACCCAATTTCGTTTAAGGTGATGAAGGACTGGTAGAAGAAGAATTTTCCCACAATCACATGATTTGAGCTGACGTTTACATTGAATTTCACATAGCCTCGCTTTCCCAACAGTTGTTCTCATCCAGGCACCAGTGGACTGCAGTTTCGACCTCACATCGGCCTTATCAAGACCCTCAGCGGGAGTCGAACCGCAATGTGAAATTCAATGGAAACGTCAGCTCAACTCATACCATAGTGGGAAAATTCTACTATTAGTCCTTCATCACCTTAAACGAAATTGGGTGAATACATCTCATATTACTGATTTACTGGTGGTCACGAAAACAATACTTAATTCGAAAAATTAAAATCAGTAATGTAGTCGATTTTCATAACAAACATAACTTCGCTCTATCCACAATCTTACCAAAGTATGTGATATTGGAAAATGTCTGGCTTTCCATGAAATTCACATCTACTTTGTGACACAAGGACATCGTGGCAATGTGGCTGAGTGGTGAACGTGTCAAGCTCGAATGCTGCACTGTGACTGTTCGACTCCCGCTGGGGGCGTCGATAAGACCGAGAAGAGATGGAAACTGCAGGCCAACCTGGATGAAAACACCTCTTTGGAATGCAAGGCTATGTTAACTTCCATGGACAGGTCAGCTCTACTCATATCCTTGTGGGATAATTCAAGTACCTATTCGCAACAATCCACAGTTTCGGCTACAATGCAATCCCCCTACGACTTGCTGTGAGTCTAATTTGAGAATCCTTTCAGCTTGCTTCTTCAGACAAAATGAAATGTACTCCCATATTGATAGTTAAATTGTTCACCACAATCAGATGAGTAGGTCTCAGGATGACTTGCCTTTCAATAAATATTTGCTTCCAGAATGGTCTATGGATTCGAGTTCGACTAGGTCTCATTAGCACCCGAACGAAATTCGACACTTTGGGCCAACTTAACCGATTGTGGGGTCAAAAACCATTAAATCAGCCATTGAATCGCC